ATACAGTAAATTCCCTCTAATTGACGTTCAGCTTGTACACAAAAATGAACGATTTGGCAAGAGGAGACATGATTATTTATAGTTACCGATCGAGAGCAACTATAAAAACGAGTCACGAGGCTCGAAGAATCGAGTCCGAGTGTCCGCCGATTACCATTTCCAATTCCGGGCTTCGGGCCTTCTAGGAAGAATTTACTGTACACGGATATCCACCGACTCGCGTTTCGTTAAATAAGAAAACACAGGTATCTATTTCGCAGTTTGAAAACATTCCGCGCGGGATGCACAATCATTTTGTATGTAAATTGAGTAATACCGCTCGAAGCGTTTTTACGTAATAACAGTTTTGAAAGGGCGGTGGCTCCTCCGGAAAGCCGGCCGGATGCGTTCCTCTTAACGGAACTTCCTCCCTTAATTCGATGTAATCTCTTCAGAATTCCAAACTGCCAACACTTAGTTTCCACTGTGACTCGCCTGTACAAAGGACTTAACAGATATACACACTCTACACGTGGCTACGGAAGAGTTTCCAAAATTCTGACTCATTAAAATTCGTCGCGTTGCCCGGAAATTGTACACACGTTTTTACGTGTTCGAAACGCTGGAACGCTTCCTTTGTGGATAGGCGAGCTACGCGCGTGTGCAACGTAGAACTTTCTGCAAGACCTTCTGGCGGTGCTAATGCAATCTCTGTTACAGGTGTATCCGATTAACGGAAACGTTGTCGTCTGCGAACGCTCGCGAGTCATATCGAGCGCAGGGTTCCTTGAACTTTTTGTGCAACTCGATTGTCTGGAAGCTGTTGCCGTATCGAGTATTTCATACCAATACAGTCGACAATAACGAGTGGACTGCGGATTTTTATGCGAAATAAAAATATTGCACACTCCCTCGTTGCACAAGACAGATACGGTATAGACGTTTATTTCATCGAAAACTTTAATAAGTTACAAACAATGGAGTTGAATTATTAAGATTTTCTGATACTTTCTCTGTTTCCTGCTCCACGCACACGTAGCGGCCCAGTGAAGCGACAAGTGTACAATAAGTGGCCCACAAAAGTGTTCGTACCAAAGGAGGAGACTCGTGTGTGATGCGTTCGAACGAGAGGTGATATTTGGGAATTTTTTTGTAATATAAGACCTCGATGAAATCTATCGTCACTCGACACCTTTATTCTTTAACACTTCAAGATATGAAATGATTTATTTCGTTACGTTACATCGAATCTAGCAGTTTTTCCTTCGATCTAGAACGAAAAATCAAACCACATTTTTCTTGTAATAGTATTACGCACATTTGATTTGACGCTATCGAAGAAGTGGACAATCGAATAAAAATTTTGTCTAGGTAAAGATTTACCCGAATAAATATATTTTTATAAAATTACGTGAAAACAAGAATTACTTGAATTATTATTATTTGAATAATTTTACAATCGTTATTCGAATTATTATATTAGATATTATTTATTATATATAATATTATATAATTACATATTATATTATATATTATATTATAATATATTATAATATTATATATAATATTATATGTTATTATATTATATATATTTATGCGAATAATTTATTGGAATAAATAAAGAATTCATGAATCTCCAATCAAGTCGGACAATTCTGAATCCATTCTTAAGACCCTAATGACAGCACACGTGCGTTATCTCTTTCGCCGGGGGCGTACACGGGTCGTATTAATGCATTCGGTGAGAGAATACGCGATTGCGCAAGAAAAATAATGCGATTTCCTTTATCGCGGGACTCGGACGCTTAATCGACCGTTGAGTCAGTTGGCCTCGGAAGATCGCTGATAAAAAAAAGTGTCGAATCCGTTGCGTCGTATCGGCTGGATACGATTATTGAAATTATATGAACGGCTGACGGGGGTGCGGCGGGGAGAGGAGCGGTGCCGGGGAACGACGTTCATCCATATTTATGGAGGATTCGCGTCTACGCCGGATTACGAATGTACGTTTTACGGGAATTCGGTCGTTCGCGAGCGAACCGTGAAATATTTTCGGGGGTTCGCGCGAAGACCGGATGAATAGAGGGGTCCGGTGGAAACAACCGAATGAAATACGCCCGCGAGCTTCGAAAATCATTGCGATAATTTTTAGCCGTCGCGAGCGGCGCGATAAAGCACCGGGAAAATTATCGACTGGCCACGATTATACGCGTCGCGTCGGCTGATCTCCGTTACCGGGGCTGCCACGATTACGGTAATGCTCGGTTAAAGTTTTAAAATCTGCCACGCTTAAATCGTGGTTGGAAGAACGAACGCAACGTATGTCAAGTATTTTCACTTCCGATATATTGTCGCTTAAAGTTTCGATCACTAATGCTTCGTATTAGCAGTGTATTCAAAATGCATCGTATTTTTTGCAAATCCTATATGCTACTTAATGCTCAATCAATGCAATAACTTAAATATATATACATATATAGTATAGTATATTATATAGATATATATATATTACTATACAATATATTACTATATAACTAACTTATATATATAAGTGTTAGATCGTTTAATATATAATTAATTATTTAATATATACCACCCTTTTATCGAGCCAGGAATGCGCAGCGTAATACGGCATTACTATCGAGAATTATTATTCTACCTTCTCAATAGTAATGTCGTATTACGCTGCGCGTTCCTAGCTCGATAAAAGGGTCCTATAAAAACAGACTTTCAATCTTCCTGCCGATAGTACACGGAACTGCTTTCACAGCTTTAAATAAGGTATCTATTATCAGACTGGTCTAATATTCGGACGTGTCCTGGTACCCGAATGAATTATATTCCGTTTCGTTCAATTAAACTAATTCCTTATTTTCTCTGTAGATTATTTATAGTATCAGTATAGAAACATTTATGTCTCGAAACCGGTAAATATTAAGCTTCAGATATAAAATGAAGATTTCACAATTTCAAAGAAAAATCGAATTTATTCGATACTTTTTATAAAGTTTGTTTATATTATCATGCACTCTCATATCGCGCACTTGCTTTCTCCTGAATTATTCTTTCAAAGTTAACCACTTGCATTCGACCTCTTTCACAGAGTTACGTTGAGCAACACTTCTTTGTCCTTACTAATTTCATCGATGTATATCTCCATTTATTTTCATTCCTAGATTTTCATCGCTGGTCTGCGAATTTTATGCATTTACGGTAAAAATCGGTTGGTGTAATCTAAAACAATGAAACATGACATCCGCGAAAGCCACTATAATGGCGCGTCGGGCCTAAAATGTTAAAACTCATCCGTTCCATAAAGAAAGCCGCTAGAAATTCTACTTCGAGAAGAATCGGCTTCCATCGTATTTGAAATTCATACTTCGGCACGGCGGAATTAAAAATGCCCCGAACAAGCGAAATTTCGTGTGCTCCGGCTAATGAAAAAAATAAAAGAAAAATCCGGTCGCCGTCGGTGCCATTAGCTCGCTGATGGACACGGTCCGTCGGAATCGGCGAATTCGATGAAAAATTTGCGTTGACAATTTTGTAAATTACCGACGACTGGGCTTAACGACCGGCCCGAAATTGGAAGGTTATCGGCGATTGCGGAAACGGCTCGCAGCGACGACGATGCATCAGGAAATAAAATAAAGCGGCGGGTCGCGCGCGCGCGCGCGTGTAATGTAGGTCCGCGTTATTTTGTCGAATTATTAATCGTAATGAAGCGCAGGGCGGCCGAGCAATAAGAACGCTCGGAATATCGCGCTCAGCCGATTTATATTTTAATGCCGGCGAACGGGGATCAACGACCAATTCCGTATGGTCAACGATTGTATGTTAATCGAATAATGAATATCGCGTTACTTGGCCTCGTTGATGCGCGAAACGCGCGCACGCCTGTCGCTAACAGACGGAATATTTATCTCGCGCGAACGACTCGGCACCGTGACAGCGGGACGCGATCCGGCGGCTAATTGAAATTATTTTTGAAGATAATGCGCTGCTACGCTTCCGCCTAATGAACTCGATGTTTCGACAGAAATGGACCTACGAAGCGAAAATGATGGAACCGTGGACCGGTACTCGTTGGGACACGGTCACCCGTTATTCGCTGCCGGAGGCGTTAACTTCGTTAACGAGTAATTATTAACGCGTATAATACGGTACTTTACGCAAAATTTGGATTTCGTATGATCTTCGGTTAGGTATGATATTCGCTGGGAGAGTTCGAGGCGGTTCAGTGAGATGAATCCCCGGAAACATGAACTAAGTTAAATAGTATTGTATAATATATATATACAATAATATTGTATAATAGCATTTACATTTTTCATTATATTTATTCGATTATGGTAATACTTTTTTAATACGATGAAAACGTATGTTTATAAATGATTGAAATTTGTTTGATTAATGAATTGTTCAAATTTCTACCCCCTCATTTTTTGCATATTTCGGAATATCTACATAAAAATGGATTTCAGGTTTTAAAATCGACTAAAACGCATGTGCACTTCGTTTACGTCATTTTCTACATTTTACTGCATTTACTACTACAAAACGTTAAACGCCCATAAAACGTGAAAATGTTTGTATTATACATGTACATAGATTCGGTTGCTCGACTAAATTGTAGCTTCGCATGATTCACCATCTAAACACGAAAATGAAAGTTTCATAAAAGACGCGATTAGTTCACGAGCTGTTAATTCATATCGCGCGTGTTCTATAATACTACAGCTGACAGATAGTCTTGCGGATATGTAATTTACGACTGATTGCGACGCTATTGCAACAGTTGAGCTACTGTTTTCTCGACTTTATCTGGACAACCTGACTCATTTTCTAGCCGTATGTAGGAAACACTGGTATACTCGCATATGTCGACGATATTCAGCCCTTAATGTCGCAGAATTAGCGGCATTAGCAATTTCCAAGTAGACCCGGGAAGAAGACACTAATCGGCAGATGTTTAGCTTTGCAAAAATTACGATTCAGTGGCTTTATAAGCAGATCACTCCTCCCGGCGATCTCAATCGTGGTCACGATGCATACATTATCGTCGCTGGTGATTTTTGGCTGCTCGATATTCGTTGCGAGTGCGTTATACGCTCCAGGTAAAGTATAGTTCATTATTGGACTGCGGATTTTTATGCAAAATAAACATTGTTCGCATCGATTGACGGAATAAAAGTTATCTATCTTTTTAGAACAGGAGAGTTAATAGTAAAAAAATAACTGCTACATCAAAATCAATTAAAAATTTTAACCCCTGAATTTTTATAAGTTGAAAATAATACATTGATATTTTGTAATTATTTTGTAAATCTTGAATATCTCTATGTTGCGATTAAAGTTATTGAAAACATTGCATTACTCCTTCGTAAGGAACGCTGATCGCAATGGCTCTAACGTAAATAATACGTAATAAATCGAGTTCGAACGGTAGCGAGATTAAAAAGAAACAACCGTCGAGTTAGACAAATAAAAGTGCGGAACAACGTCGTCACGATCGACGCAAATACGTGACGACGCGGCGGCGACGACGACGACGACGTTGAGAAACGGCGCCGAGGAGACCTTATCGGTCACACGTGTCGGTAGTGGTAACTCCGTGTCGTGTCCAGTATTCCGTCTAATTTGAATGTTGCACAGGGAATTATCAAGGAAAGACCGGCTCCGAGTCAGCGGGATCCCTGGGATCGAAGATTATCGGAGGGGAGTTGGCCGCCATAGAGAAATATCCATTTGCAGTTAGTACAATATAACGCGAGATCGATCTTCACGGTCGATTTGGCATTTAGAAAATCGTTGGCTCTCCGCAGGTCTCGTTGCAGAACAATGGCACGTTTTTTGGGCACGAAGTCGAGCATTTCTGCGGCGGCGGTATCGTCGGGAAAAAGTGGATAATAACGTCAGCGCAGTGCGCTCTCAGGCAAGATTAATATATCGCATTGTCGGCTGCGGCTTGCATTTACAATTCCGCTCGGTTTCGATACGCTTTCCTGTCTCTTTTCCCCCCTTTTCCTCGTCCCCGCCTCTTTCTCTCTGCTTCGACGACCGGTTCAACTGTTTCTCATGTTTCCCGTCTTCTTTCTGCCCGCAACAGGATCCACGTGAAGAGCTTTCACGTGAGGGCTGGCACGGCTTGTTATCACGCGGGCGGTGTCATCTACGGCGTTAAAGGCGTCGTAATACATCCCGCTTTCAACCAGAATAATTACGACTACGATGTCGGTATAGTCGAGGTAAAAACGTTTACGAGTATCGTTAAAAAGTTTGCCGGTTTCACCGAGAAAACTTCCTCTGTCCTCTGGTTTAACTTTCTCAAGAATGTTTACGAAAATTTATTATACATCGCGACTTTAGACGTCGTTCGATCTTTGTTACGAAAATATGGTAGAGCAACGTTTTTTTCACGGGTTCAAACAGTTTCACCTTACAGCTCGATGTGCCTGAATCTAGTCCGACCAAAGTTGATGAGATCTTCGCTGAGCTCTTTAACCTTTTAGGCACGACGCGCCACTATAGTGGCTCCCGCGGATATCATCTTTTAGAACGACACGCCACTATAGTGGCTTGCTCTAGTAGCTCATCAAAATGAGCAAAACCAATTTGTTTCGGTTTTTTGTCCAGTTTTTATTGTAATAGTTCCAATAATGTATTGTTTTCAATCATATTTCATGAAATTGTTTTTATAATGTGTATATTTGTACAATGACCACTGTAGCTTCAGTGTTAAGTAGAATTTACTCGGGCACCAATCGCTGCATTTTTGTGTACCGTTTTCCCGTGAATAGGAAAATTAACTGACGACAGTTGACGTGACAGTAATACCTTGAAATGGAAATTAACATTTCATAAATACAAAATACCTTTAATAATGGGGATAACGAATCTACGATTGAAGTATGTCAACGTCCAGAACATGTAATTTCTACTATGTTGGAATTAAAGAATTTGCAATTCAATGCAAGATACGTTCGTTACAATAGTGTTTGCATTCGTTCGTAGACTTTGCTTGGACAAAAATTTTGTTTCCTTAATGTCATTATTAAAAATTGGACGTTCTATACGTATAACAATTTAATTGTATCTACTATTTTTTGTGTTGTGGATCAATCAGTGCCTAAAAGGTTAAAAGTAATCCACAATACATGAAAATCTAATTTAACAGTTAGGCACGATCGATTGTCCGCATACAAAAGGAACCGTTGTAAATATTATTAAGCAGGTTCGAAGATTAAGATATCGTTTTCCACAGCTCTCGGAAANTATCATCTTTTAGAACGACACGCCACTATAGTGGCTTGCTCTAGTAGCTCATCAAAATGAGCAAAACCAATTTGTTTCGGTTTTTTGTCCAGTTTTTATTGTAATAGTTCCAATAATGTATTGTTTTCAATCATATTTCATGAAATTGTTTTTATAATGTGTATATTTGTACAATGACCACTGTAGCTTCAGTGTTAAGTAGAATTTACTCGGGCACCAATCGCTGCATTTTTGTGTACCGTTTTCCCGTGAATAGGAAAATTAACTGACGACAGTTGACGTGACAGTAATACCTTGAAATGGAAATTAACATTTCATAAATACAAAATACCTTTAATAATGGGGATAACGAATCTACGATTGAAGTATGTCAACGTCCAGAACATGTAATTTCTACTATGTTGGAATTAAAGAATTTGCAATTCAATGCAAGATACGTTCGTTACAATAGTGTTTGCATTCGTTCGTAGACTTTGCTTGGACAAAAATTTTGTTTCCTTAATGTCATTATTAAAAATTGGACGTTCTATACGTATAACAATTTAATTGTATCTACTATTTTTTGTGTTGTGGATCAATCAGTGCCTAAAAGGTTAAAAGTAATCCACAATACATGAAAATCTAATTTAACAGTTAGGCACGATCGATTGTCCGCATACAAAAGGAACCGTTGTAAATATTATTAAGCAGGTTCGAAGATTAAGATATCGTTTTCCACAGCTCTCGGAAAGCATAGTGTTCGACGAGACGAAGCAACCGATCCAGTTACCGAAGCTGCACTCGGAAATCCAAGATGGTGCCCAGGTTCAAGTACTCGGTTGGGGCGCGTCTGTGGTAAGAACGATGTCAAAGCTTTCCGGAATGCTCTTTATCTCGCGAGCGGAATATTGCAACCGGGCTGTTTAGTTATTAGGTCCCGTCTCGGACGAACTTTTATGCAGCACGATGCAGAAAATTAATAACGAGGACTGCCGGCAAGCGAACGGGGCTGACTTATTAACGCACAGAATGTTCTGCACCTTATCAGACCACGCTAGCGCCTGTGTCGGGGATTCTGGCTCGCCTCTCATTTTTAACGGCATCTTCTTTGGTAAGCACCAACATCTTATTCAAAGGATTTCATTAATAACTCGGTGACACTTTAAGATGCGAATTTGATTAATAGTACAGCAGGGGTTTCCGTGTGTATTGCTCGATTCTGGATAAAGATTCTAGTACGTTTTTCTGTAAATGCAAATAATATTTAAAGAATTTTTCTTTTCTTTTTATTAGATTTTAGATATTGTATTTAACGCAAGTTTTATTTTATTTAGGCATTAATAGATCGATTGGCAAAACCTCATAATTGCTTTGAGGTTAATTTTTGTGATCAGAGGGTTGCGGCGATGAAAGGTGCTAGATTTGGCTAGAAATGGGGAGACTATGGTGGAGAGGGAACTTTAAGAAGTGGGGAGTTAATAGAAAAATAGATAAATTTTATTGGCGTACTTTATAATGATATCTTTACTTGCAACAAACGTTTATTAAATAATATAAAAGTGTAGAAACTTTTCATATCAAAATGAAAATGAAGAAAATTCCGTTCTTATTAGAAATATAAATTGTTTAGAATCTTACATTATTTAATAAATGTTTTTTGCAAGTGAAGATATTATTATAAATTTCGCCTACAAAATTTATTTCTTCATTAACTCACCACTCCTTTTTAAACATCCCTCTCTACTTTCAGCCAACTCTAGCACCTCCCATCCGCAATCCTGTCTGTAATGATACCTAATATTTACCTAAATATTTGTAATCTACGTACTAGGTACTTTTGTTATATCACGTTTCTCTTACTTATTACAGCGTATATTCACTTTATTATGATTTCGCAGGCGTAGCATCGTGGAGTCAATCATGCCAATTAGAATATCCGACAGCATACACTGCCATATCCGAAGTGAGAGACTGGATCATCGAAGTGATAGAACATAGCGAATGATTACATCCATTTTCATGTACTTTTTATGGCGCACTACTACTAGTAATAGCCACGATCCGTTAAAGTGTCTTCAAGACACTTTGCATACCATTAAGGCTTCCATTATAAATAGAGGGTACTATTTTCAATGATACAAGGGACGCTGACAATACAGAAAATTAATTGTTAATACTGAGACACTGTCGACCTTCATTTTGAATTTTCTTTTAATGCAACCCTCGAGAACTATCAAACGCATAAGTTACTAATAACGTGAGACAACTAGGAGGAAGATGCCAAACAACCGGGACTCTAAATTTATTCGGGAAATGTTATTCGTATTTATAGGACCTCTTCTTTTTAGGACATTTAGCAAAGAAATCACTTAGCATTTGTTTCAACGTGCCACATAGGCACGCTTTGTTTTCTACCGTTTAATATTTTGTGCCGTAAGAAGCAGAGAGAAAGTATTATCTACGAAGGAGGATATTTTTCTTGCTTTATTTTAACATTATGTGTTTTATAGTTCATTACTTGGGAAATGAATAAAGTATACTAATTTTATATTACGCATCTATTCTATTTTTTTTATAATAGAAAATTCGTAAATTCTCCCTAATTGACGCTTAGATTCTACACAAAAATGGACAATTTTAGAAGAGCAGATACGATTATTCGAGTCTAGCGGCTTGTTTGTCAACAATAGTTATTATATAGTTATATAATATATTAATATATAATATATATAAATAATATGTAATATATATAATATATTATAGTTATTATATATAATATATTATAGTTATTATATAGTTTGTCAACAACTATAAAAACGAGACGCAAGAATCGTATCTCTTCCGAAATTGTCCATTTCTGTGCCCTTTTACATGTATCGATATTGGTAATTACGTTTGAAATGTTTACCGGAGTGATATCAACGACTATCAATTAAATACTTATAGTTCGTCGCTATTTGCTTTCGATCGCTATAAATCCATCGCTTACAGTTTAGTAAACCGTGTTTACAGAAAGCTTTGTGTGCGATTTTCCCTTGAATTGAACGGTATTCCTTGCGAAATAGACGGGCGCGACGTGTTAAAAAATTAGAACGCAAGTTTCTCGCTGGAAGCCAGTATATTTCGTCGGACGAATATTATGTTTGCTTTGCCGCGAACGGAGCAACGGGAAAAATAAAACGCGTTTTCAGTGTGCACGCAAGGAGGAGCGCTCGTCGCAGGAGGGTAAGGAGTGTACACGACAAAAATGTCGATACTGCTGTAGCTCGGCGAAGAGGGAAACTGATAGAAAATCCGTATAAGCCAGGGGAGAAATACTTGCCGGCGTTACGCTAGAGCGGCGCGAAGAGAAATGTTTAATTTCGAGGCTCCGCGAGCTGATAGCTTCGGACTGGGCATTGCAATAACCCTATTAAACCGCAGACACGATCCAATAACTTTTCTGTCACCGGCCGCTCGCGTCGTCGTCCTCCATTCGACTCTGCTATTTTCGTCCCGTTGCGTCGCGGTTTAACATCACCTGGAAAAACAGATACGCGCGTCCGCGTGGACGTCTGCGGAACCCGCTCGAATGCATTTATAACGCGTGATCGCCGTACTTCTTACACACCACGGAATAAGCGGTACACGGAACAAAGTGCAACCCGGACGATATTGCGCGAAAGTAATCGACAATACCAGGTGAAAGCGATAAGGTAAAAGTGCTTAATACGGAACGCTTCTCTGGGGATAGAAAATTATCGTCGATTTTATTGCAACTTGAAAGCGTTATTATTTATTATCGGACTACTGTCCGATAGATCGATGTTTCTAGATAACGCAATAATTTATTACAATTTATTTAACACGAATACAAAATTATACGAGTAAAAATCGATTTACAAAATTGTTGTAAAATCGGAACTATCATACTGCAGTACCTGCCATGCTTTTAACAGTTCGTTAGAAATGTAAACAGATCCGATTAATAAGATTATTTTATAAACGTAACATAACAGTTTTTAATAGCGTCTCGGGGTGTCGCCGCTCCAGTGTAAAGGCTTAACATGATTTAAACGAATCTCACTGTACTCAGTCGCTAATGACAGTGGCTAGATGTCGATACGACTATAAGCCTTAAGAAGAAGGAAAAAAATTTCTGTGCATTAAAGAGTTAATTGTGGAAAGATCAACATCTCTTTGTAGATCATCATTTATTAGCCTTCGCAGCTTGCTCAACCGGTCGTTAGCACGAGGAGAACGCTGCAAGCAGTGCACGGTATTAAGACATTATGCTTAAGGTTATAGCTCTAGAAGCATTAAAAAGAACGACACGCCATCCGCATTTACAGCACACGAAGTTGTCAGATGGCGTGAACTTTTCAATTCGAGTAACCGCCATTACGTCACGACATGACACATCTGAGCCAGTTACTAAATTAACCCTTAGCACTCCGAACCGTTCTGGACGTTGGCTACCAGCTTCTCGGCGCCACTTTTCGGCAGAAACGGGCATTTACAGACCCTCGTATTATTTAGTATGCTTTTGGAACCAACTAATATATTACCAACCAACTAATATATGTTGGACTTATATGAATTTGGCTGAAATCGAGAAATTTGCAAAAAAATCGCTAATAAACTTGAATGTCCCACTCGAGGGGACATCCGAGTGATATGCTAGAATTGCGATGTCCCACGAGAGGGGACAGCGGAGTGCAAAGGGTTAATCTGAACGCTATGGCTTCCGATTCAATAAACTTTTCGACGCTGATTCGTGTTTACGACTGCCGTTCGTGGCAGCTCCTCCCGTTCGTTCTGCGGTACTCGCGCCGCGCCCCTTCTATCACTGGAACAAAGGAGACTGTCCAATATTACTGCGCGAAGACATCAAAGATGAGGACTCCCTGATATTCGATTAACCTTAATGCACTGGTAATGTCGTGGCTACTACACCGACGAACGTTATTACGTCCTAACGACGTAACGCGTGTTACCGTGTACGCCGTGCACGACGGAGGACGTACAGAAACGTCGCCAAGCTATGTATTCCCTATTCGTTTCGTTTCTCCGCGCCTCGAGAATCTGAACGCTCAAAGCGGAAATGTTGTGTTCTGAAATTGTTATAATTCGATCGTCCTTCCACGAGCGTGCCGAGAATTGGCACACGGTACGTTTACATTTTGGTTTACGGTACGCGCGCATTGTCGGCTCGAAGTTTCCGGCAGACACAGCGTTATCAAAATTGATACGGGTGAACTTTCAACTTCAAATGGCTTCGGTTAACCGCTGAAATATGCAGACCGTCTTCTAAAAGAGATCACTTTGTTAAAAAATTACATCGAACGGCTTGAAATTTTACCTAATTTACTACGCAAAATTTTTATTCTAGGCTCAGATTAAAAAGAGAGAGTCTCTACCGTATCTCACGAAATATTGATTTTGTGGTACCCTGATGTTTGTTTACGCGGAGTACGCGAGGAATAGATACGAGTAAACAAAAATATGCGATTCCATTAAAAAGAAATGCGTATCTGTATTTTTCAGAATCACTGTTGCATTTAAAAAGGAATGAAGTCGCAGAAAAAATAGACACCATCGTACCAATCAACTTTTTCCTCTACAGTTTTTTTTCTATGTGTTGTTAAAATCGAGATACGACCCGTCCCAATTGCGTGACTCACTCTGCATATATAGGGTGTTCGTTTCATCTTGAGCACACGTAATATCTCTGTCATACCTGGTGTTACAAAACAATGTTTAGGTGAAAAATTGCACAACTATGCGCGACGAATATAAAGAGAGAAAGGCGCTATTGTGAAACGAGTTGAACGAAAGATAATACCCCGGTCAACAGGACATATAGCGACAGACATATTGTGTATAGCAAACTGTACATTCGCTGAAAATTCTGTTATCGAAACTATGCACAAAAAAATATCACCAGCTTAAATCATGAACAAATCGCGAGTAAATGATGGAAATCTGACAAATGGAGTGTCTGGAGAATGACAAAAGTATCTCGGGAAAGAATAGAATCGGGAGAAGAAAGCCGCGGTTATTCCGCTGAACGAAAGAGAAAACAAAAGCAAAACGAAGCCAGCTTTATCGCGAGTCCTTGTTAACGGCAAAGGAGTTTCTCGACGGGCAATGAAGCCAAAATTTCTTCTCGCGGCGGCTCGATTAACCCTGGTGTCCGAGAGTCGCAGGCTGCACGAGTAGAGGGTTGATAATCACTAGGGGGGAGCGCACCACCCTCCTTGGTCCGCGGGAACATATCAGAATGCGGTGTCGGCAAGAAGCCGACGTCGAGATGCTTATTGCTACAATTTGGCAAGATCCTTGTGTAATATTAGCGTTCCACCGCGCTCACGGTTATCCCCGCAGCTAAAGCACATTCCGACAAGCTATTTTCAGTACGTTAGAAACTTAATAATATGTGGCGCGACACACGTACAACGACCGTGGAAATGCTCTCAGACGATGGGCGTTGTTTCAAACGAAGAAATAAAAGGGTAGGGAACAATGGAGAAGTCCTGTGCACCGTCGAGATTGTATCACTATTTTCTCGACCGCGTCCTACAACACCGCTCTCTGCTGGAACTCCGTAATTACTCTTTACTCGCGGAATTAATCGGCCGAATTAATTCACCAGCTTCCAGCGTGCGTCGATTCGACGTGATCGTGGTTGTGAGTTACAGTTTAAATATACTTTGTAAGAATGGAAAAAGATCATAGTAATATGCATTCGTCATACAATAATATACATTATAGATGGTATACTGAAGCCAATTGCTGTGCCATTGATTTGTGTTCAGCCGTAATTAACTTTACATTCGTCGAATAAACATATTCAACTTCTTTGTTCAAAAATAGACAAAATAAAAGAATAAATATTCCAGAAAGTCTTGTACGTTTTACGATTTAGAGACAATGACCTTAAATTCGAATATTAAACAGATGCATAAGAAATGACCACCAGGGCAATTCAAAGTCCGAACGTTGCAAAGTTCGGGCCGTTTCAAAGTGGGAACTTTATTTATAGCTCCAATTTATACCGACCGGTTATTTCCAGTTCCGGCTCATTCCTCTGTAATTAATCGCAACTGGGTCGCGGATCCCACCAAGAGGAAAGGACTTAAGAGTGAGCATACCAGGTGAACCGTCCCCAGGACTCCCAGAAAGAAGCGACCGAGTGTAATCTTAAGTAATGCGTCCCATTCGTCAGTTGTTAAATTTTCCAGTGGCGGGTAAACAAATGGCTGTCGGGGCGGAGTTGCAAATCAGGAATTTGTCAGTGCGAGTCGTTCTTTTTAAACGAGTATCCTCGGCCAGCTTCAGAACTCGCGAGCATTCCGTCTGATAACGCTTTTAAATTTTCGTTAGCACGAACTGCGCGACGCCCGCCCCCTAAACGACGTAAAGTAAGAAAAACGGTCACACGCCCGGAGGAACACGGCAGACATCCTCGCACTCCATTCAGCAACTCGGTACATTTATATTGGTCGTTCCGGCGGAGTCTTCGCAAATCTCAAATAGACCGAGCCCTAGTAGCTGCGGAATTACGGTGCTAC